CAGCGGGTCGCTTCGGTTCTTTTGGCGGTTGCCGTCGTGAAGTGCGGTCGCGCAGTCGTCGCCATTTGTCGCCTCCGTGTTCAGCAGCTGAAAACGCAGAACAAACGCAAAAGTGTTGCGGCTTAACAAGCCCGCATTTCACACTGACCAATTTGGGAAGCAAAAAAAAAAAACTGAGCTTTTGCCAATGTCCGAGTTGGGAAGCAGAATCTGGGAAAAAACGACGCCGAGAGCGTCCGCACACGTCACCTTGAGCTGTTGGTCCAGCGGCGTGTTGCCATCACGCAGCGGAGTCAGAAGCCGCTCCACGTAGGCGTGAAGCCGCGACGCCGCCACCTCCGTATCGCCGCACAAAATGGCCTCCACCAAGGCGTCGTGGATGAACACGTACTGCTCCTGAAGGGGAAGGCGAGAGGCGGGCGCATTCACGGATGTCACGCTTGCTACAAAAGTTTTGAGCCATGAATTTGACGCGTCCTGTTGCGTGTGGCGAAGCGGTGCGACTGCGGAAGGTGGAAAAAAAAAGAGCCATATGTCCGCCATTTTGAATTTACTTTCAAGTGGGCGTCGCCTTGACTACAAACGCTGCTGTAACGTGACCCCACATGGTCTTCGAAAAGATTTCTCACATTTTATGATACCCCAGGCCTGAAGACATCTATGAACTGATTTAGCGCCACCTAGTGACAAAAGAAAATGTTTTATTCTTTGATGTTTTTCTCCGAGCAAGTTGGCCAGATTGCTCAGAAACGTATTTAAACCTCCGTGATGTCGGGATGCCAAATTTGGTTTCGCAAAACACCGTTGCCTTGGCAACGTGCACTTGGCCAATAAAAGGAGGATAAAAGTCTCGCTCCGCCACTGGTGGGAAGGTGAGGAGATGACAACGTGAAAACGAGAAGAGAAAAATGAAGACGATGATGAGATCATGAGAAGATGACACGACATGGAAAACCAGAAGGTGAGAAAACGAGAGGACCAAAAACTGAAAGGATGAAGAGATATGTTGAGAAGATGGCAAGACGGGCGGATGAAAAGTCTACCAGACGAAAAGATTTGACCTGCGTCTGGACCAGGTAGTTCCTCTGCGTGCGGATGTGTCGGAGGAATCCGTCCACGTCCACGGCGTCCTCTTGCCTCATTTGCCTCAGCATGCTGTCCAACACCAAGTAGGTGCCCGTTCGGCCCACGCCGGCGCTAAACGCACACGCGGGAAGCGGGAAATAGACTTTGCGATGTCATCGCAACCGATTTCAAACGCTGAGCCGTTCCGTCAATGTGGTGCCACGCTTTGGTTGGATTCAAGACCGAAATCGGAAGCGCTCAAAACTTGAGCCTCCCCAGCCGGCGTGTGATGTCATCACCGCGCGACACCACTCAGTCCAACAAAAGTTCCAGTTTAGAGGAACTTTTGGTAACTTTATAGACCAGAACCACCTTGAATCCCGCACTTCGGCATCTTTTTCACAACGTTGTTGTGTGATGTCATCACCCTGCGACATTGTGGAGTACGCAACAAACTAAAAGTGGATTCGAGAGTAGGGAATGATGGATGATTCTGATCAATCCCTCCTTCCTTACTCGTGAATCACTATAGAGGGTTTTTGGTGGGTGAGGGGGGAGTATCGAGGCCCACCACATGAAAATCCTTAAGGGAGTCAAGAATGAGTTCATGAGTAAAACCTGCAGTGCACCACCACCGGGCCCATATTTGCCGTCCTGGCTCGTGACGACTGGCGTATGAAGTTGAGAAGCGGCAGGGCGTGGTCGGGCACGCCCATGTCGGGCCACTGCGTGTAGTGGTACTGCGTGACCACTCGCCTCGTCTGAGAACCCTGCAACCGGACGGACGGTGGGCGACTCATCAAACGGCAGGCGAAAAACCGGCGCCACCGACCGCGTCGCGGCCGGCCGGACGGACCTTTTTCCCATGCGTGTCGGTGACGGCGAAGGTCCGCCGAGTGTAGTGGGCCAGCTCTCGGATGCTCTTGAGCGCCACCGCCAGGCCGCCGTAGTCCTCGCGTGCGTCGCTGGGCCAGTACTGATCGCACTTCCTCTGAGGGCGGGCACAAAACACAACGCGCACTCGCTTCCTGTCGAACGGGCGCGTGGAAGGTCCAAGTCGAGTCTCGAGTATCACGTCGGAACCATCGACTAGCCTCAAATTTTAACCTTCAAGTTTCCAGTAAATCTCAACTCTGAATCTCTCCGAGTCTCAAGCAAATCCGAACCTTCGTCTCGCAAGTACGTACCACCTCGTTCGGGTCTGAACCGTCAAGTCGCCAGTAAATTTTCAAGTCTTAACCTTCAATTCGCCTCAAATGTTCAGATTTCAAGTCACTCTCCAATCGGGTTAAATCTCAATTCTTAATTTTTATGTCTGGAGTCAAATGCTAACCTTCAAATGTCAAGCAAGACTCAAGTCTTCACGTTCACGTCAATCTCTCATTTTAACGCTTTCATTTGGAGCCAGTCTCGAGTTTCAAGCGTCAGTTATCGAGTAAATCTCCATTCCGACCCTTCAACTGGTCAAGTGTGAACCCTCAAGCAAATCTGAAATCTTCGTCTCCTAGTCTCAAATAAGACTCAAATCCATTTCAATCTGAATCAGTCGAGAGAGCGCTGATCTTAACAAGAGGTGCGTTATGGCTGGAAAATCCCCATCGTAGGCACAGGGGACCAAACGAACGGCCGCTCGCCACTTACTGATCTTTTTTTTTATGTCAAACAAACACAAAATAGTCCCAGTCCGGTCTCAAGTCTGTTTGTTTTTGTCAAGTCCCGTGGTCCAAACTTGAACCGGAGTTTGCAAGTTGCGAACGGACCGAGTCGGGCCACTCACGCGTCCCTTCTCCAGCAGGTTGGTGATCATCACAATGACGCCGACGTTCTGCTCCCAGATCATCCGCCAAAAGTCGTCCGTGCTGGACTTGAGCGGACCCTGAGCCGCGATGTACGCGTGGCGCATCTTGAAGCCCTGGAATGTAAATGTTTTTCCGTCTGCCTTGGCTGCGGCGCGTCCAACTCCTCAAACCAAAACCTTGCCCGCGGTTGCGGCGGTTTCTGTTCTTTCACCTCGATAAGCCAACGCGGGAAAATCGGTTCGACACTTTTTGTTTCATCCCGATAGCTTACTAACTCATAGGCTAAGTGGCGTGCTAACTAGTTGAATAAGCGATTCACACACTGACTGACCGAGTGACCAACTAACTAATTCAAGAAGTGGCCGGGATTGCCGATTTCCCGACGAAATAACTAGTTGACAAAAAAAAAACGGGTTTGACTAAGCGGCTCGACTGGCCAAAGGTGCGACGAAAGGGAGGCAGGCGTGGATTTGAAAAGAAGGTTGGCAAAGGCGGGAACCTCCCCGCGCCAGCCGCGCCAAGGAGTGTGAAAACGGGAGAGGAGCAAAGGCGAGCGTCTCACGTACGTCCACAAAGTTGGCGTTGATGTAATCTCGACAGCGTCCGTCCTTGTCGGCCACGGCCGCCGACAGCCGCACTCGACTGTGATCGACTGAAATGAAGACAAACGCAAAAACAGCAACGCAAAAACATGAAGGCTGACTCTTGCCCCTCGGTTGCATTTCGTTGACGGTCGGCGAACCCCCTGGGCCGACGGCGCCGTTCCGGAAACTTAAGAAACGTTGGATTTTGCAAACACCACAAGACACAATAAAAGTGAAAATCTCCGCAGCTGATTCGTTTGAGGCTGCGTCCCATTTGATGGACGAAAAGTTCCCGTCGCTACGCTGTCACACTCTCGCATTGGACCTGAAATATCATTTTTAATTCTTCTTCTCATATTTTCTATGAGGGTTTTCAAATTTGCAAACAAGAAGAAGAAGAAGAAGAAGAAGAAGAAAACGCGTCGCCTGGACTTACAAGCCAGGATGTTGCTGTATCGGTTCTTGCTCTTGTTGTCGGGATGGTTGGACGTCTCCGAGGTCATGGCCACGTCCGCCTTGCGTGCCTGCACCTCCTTTCCCCACACGCAAATGGAAAAAAAAAAAAAAGTCAATGAATGCACCAAATCAACCATCGCGTTCTGTTTGTTTTTTTTTTGGCAGAACAAATGGATCGGTGTGTCGTACCGCTCTATGTGTAGTATCGCTCAATGCCAATTCCAAAACTATTCAATTGAGTTGCTCCGAATTAGACAACTATCACATGGCAATTCTATTCCCATGCAACCAAAAGAAAATCCCGAAGTGACTTCATCAAACAAACAAACAAACGCACATGCAGACGGTCACCAGGAGGGGGAGTCTTACCTCATAACTTTCCTTGAGCAGCTAGCCAGGGCGAGGAAGAAGGGGAGGGGGGCGGGACAGGAGGGGGGGTGCGGCCAGGACGTTACCATGACAACACAAAATGGCAATCCAAGTTGACATGAGGACCAGCGACAACAAGGCAGGGTCGGACAAAAGCAAAAAAATGAACTTTCGATTCAGGGCAGTTGATTTGTTCGGAGTATTGCCGATACGACTTTTTGCAACTTTTTAAGAAGAAGAAGAAGAAAAACCTTTATTTGTCCCACAATGGAGAAATTTGCAATTTTACGGAAATATGAGGAAATCTGCAAGGTTATTTCAGAAATGTACAACTTTATCATAAATGTTTAACTTTTTTATTTTTTTAATTAAATACATAAAAACAATCAATGTTTTTGCTGAAATATGACTTACAGAAATATATATTTCCAAAGAAAAAGTGACTTTCACTGAAATCAATATACGACTCGTTTCCCTGAAACACGCACCTCTATTCTAAAAATGCAACATTTTTATGAAACACAACTTTTTCAGAAGCGTACAACATTTTTGGAGGCAGACGATTTTCAAGCGACAACAAAAGCACGACACAACCGGGCATCATGCAGGTGCACGCTTTTTTTTCATGCAGAAAGACGCAACCAAGAGAAAGTCTGGAGGTACCTCAAACTTGCGCTGAAATCCGCTCGTTCGGTGAAGCTCGGCGACGTGTTGGACAAAATCTTCCACAGGAAGTGCCGCTTTTGGGTCTAGGAGGCAAACCGGACGTGAAACATCTTTTGGGGGCAGCTTTTATTTCGGCGAATCGCCGCTGAGGTTACCGGATGCGAATGCGGCCGCGTCGCCGACGTGGGGGCAGGCGCGTTCGTCCACGTAGAAATGCGCCGTCTGGAAACACACCCTGGGGCCAAAAGTTGCAAACTTGACAATAGGCCCATGCAAACTTTGGATGCAATAGAATAAATGATCATGATGCCAATTGAACAGAATGGTCACGGGTACCCCCAAATGTTAGCCTTCTGCAAATACAGTCACAAAAACAAATGGTGATCTTGAGAAGAATCAAGATCACAATCATCTTCGGCAGCTGGCTAAAAGTCGAGCCTCTCCTTTCTCCGGTGAGCACTTTGAGGTCGGGTCATTTATGCCTTCGTCACATGTCGGTTGGATGACTGTCGTGCGCTTGACTTTGGAGTCAGCCGATCCTCCATTCAGCATCTCCAGTTGGCCCACAATGCTGCCGCTCGCCTCTCGAGCGGCATTCGTAAGAGGGAGCGCGTCACTCCTACTCTGGCATCCCTTCACTGGCTCCCGAGACATTTTCGAGTTGTTTTTTTTTGAAGATTCTCTGATTTTCTTTTCCAATCTGGAAATGGCCAGGCCACACCTCCCATCTCTGAACGCTTCCTTCTTTCCGAACTATTAATCAACTTTTTCTGGATGTACCAACTTTTCCAAAAGACGATCAAAACAAGGCACGTGCCGGTGACGTTTTCATCCTTTGCCGTGATTGGTCAAAACAAAAATTTTGGTCGGCGTGCACGAGTTGCCACATCGCCCAATCAGTGTGAAGTATTGGACGTAATGTCTCACCTATGCCGGAGCAGGTCATATTGGAGTGGACCCAGATTGATACTGTGGGGAACGCCTCGGACTGAAGAAGTGTGCGAGGCGGGAGCACGAGCTCACCTCCAGTAGACCAAGATGCCGATGAGGACCGCGAGTCCGAGGGCCGTCAGCGTGGATATGACGGCCAGGGGGACCACCGCTTTCCTCTCGCCGTCCCTGATGGAGCCCACGCGAGATTCGTGGCTGCTGTTGCTCACGTCTGCACACACATACGCCGCCGTTACGCTAGAAACTCGCACGGCCCGATCCTCGCGTGCGTCAGAAGACGCGGACGCTAAAACGTCTGCGGGGTGGCGTCGGATCTCCGGGCTCCTCCCCAAAACCCCTCGCCGAGGAAAAATACACGTTGGTCCGAAAGCTGTAAAAAGTCGCGCTCGTTTGAAAGCCGAACACGTGACGGCGAAGAAAATGATCAAGTGAAGAAAGAGAGTGACTCCATGCGAAGACGTGGCAATGAGAAGATCAAGAAATCAAGACGCATTCCAAAGACAAGATGATGAAGATGCAGACGGGCGGATTTCTCAGAATGGTTTGAGAAGCTTGAAGTCGGGTTGACTTTTAGCTCGTGACTTGTGTGTATGTGTTGCAGATTTGATGTACGTTTAGCTGGAGCTGTTCCATTTTGTTTTTGCTTTGGGGTACCTATTTGATGGACAGCAATTGATGGAAGGTGTGAAGTAGATGTTATGTTCGACGCATCCTTTTGGTTTTTTGTACATTTGTGCACTCTTAAAATATCAGCTTGCTGCGCAGCAACGGCAGTACACGCCACTTCTGTTCTATTCTAGTGGGATGCTGGGAAAGACTGATGACTGACTGATGGAATGCTGAATAAAGTCACGCTAGAATGGACTGGCTTTCACATGCATGAAGGCTTTGATCGGCGGCCGTCGTCATGACGTCGCTCGCGTCGGGTACGACCGACCAAGCGGCCGCTTTCTCCAGCCGGCGTGGGCGTGGTTACCTGCCACTGGCTCCTCCTCTCTTTCCGACTCCCGCCGAGTTTGCTCGGGAATGCTGAAGTCCGAGGAGGTGTCGTTGTCGTACAGGTTCTCAGCCTGACCCGAGCCGCTCTCCTCGGGAGAGATGGGTGAGGGCAGAGTGGGCGCGCTCGGCGAGGCGGTGCCCCCTCGCCCAGATCCGGCGGAGCTCCCGCTCTCGCCGTCAAAATAGAACGCCGAGGAGCGGTCGTCTCCAGACTCCAAAGTGACGAAAGGGGGGTCCGTGGGATGAGGATGGGCGCTCTCACCCGAGGCCGACACCTCGACGCCATCCCAGTCCTGGTCTACGCCAGACCCTGAGACGCCACTACTGGGGTGCGAGGAAGTGGGTGTCACGGGGACGAAAGGCAGCGATGGCAACATCGCATGCTCCGATGTGGCGGCTGCAACAGAGAGGGGCGGCGCACTGCGAGTGGCCATTGGGAAGTCGGGCGCTGGCAAAGAGGGCGAGAGCGGAACCACCAGCCCACCAGAAGCCGCCCCAGAAAAAGAACTCACAAGGACACCCAAAGAACTCAAGAGAAGATCCACACCAACACCTGAGGTTGCGGCCCCAAGGGGTTCGTGGGGCGGGGCTTGGGGCCAGGACACAGAGGGCTCCAGGGAGCAACCACATATGGCATCCGAGAACGCGGCATCACCACCCTCCGGCGGGAAGGAGTCAGCCGTACTTCCTGTCCCGTATCCCAAGAGCTCCACTTCGTTAGCCAATGATGGCATCAGACCGGGAGTGGCGGCAGAAAGCGGGTCGTCACTAGAGAGGAGAACCGACGGCCGCAAGGTGGGGCTGAGGGAAAGCGACGCGTCGGAGAGGGACGCCCCCCATTCTAACACGTCGGCGAGGTCACGCGAAGAGAAATATGCCAACTCGTTGGCGAAAGAGAGCGAGGGAAGAGAGGAAGGGTCTTGGCGAGGCAGCGGCGGGGTGCCGGCACCCATCGTGGAGCTGAGGGAGACGGAGACCTCTGGGAGGGACCCCCCCAATTCCGACACCTCCGAGTGGTCTCTCGATGAGAAAGATGCCAAGCCGTCAGCGAAAGAGGGAGCGGGGCGAGAGTTGGGAGAAGCGGGGATTTGGCGAGGCAGCGGGGCGGCGTCCGGGGTGGAGGAAGGGGTGAGCTCATGCAAGCGGGCAGGGGGGACAGGCCGGAGCCTGGGGTGGGGGCTCATGACATCAATCAGATGGGAAGAAGGGGCGAGGACAGAGTGGCGCTCACCCTTCGAGAGCGGTGGCGTGGTCTGCAAAAGTACGCCGCTCTGCCACACCGAAGTCTTTGTGTTTGAAAAATAAGGCATGCTGGGAGCTGTAGGCCCTCGCGGAGGAGATTGTCCGCGGGGTCGGCCCCGGGCCTCGACCCCGTCATCATCACCGAGTCTATTTGCATCGTCTGTTTCGGGTGCGGTCAGACCTTTGCGCGGGTCCGCGTGGACGGACGTTGGCGTGATGGTGAAGTCGCTCAAATTGGTCAGGTTCAGGGTCGTGGTGGGGGTTTTGTTCATCGGCTCGTGTGAAGTTGTGATATTGTTTGCGGTTGCGTTCGTCGTCACTGCCCTTGTCATATTCATGGTCTTGTTCGTGGTCTCGGTGAACGGTGCGGTCGTGGTTGTGGTTTCGTTCGTTGACGGGGTCCAGGTCTTGTTTGCGGTTGGACTGGCGGTCATTTCCATTGTCGTATTCGTGGTTGTGATCTTGTTCATGGTTTTGGTCATTGGCCCGGTCATGCTAGTGGTGTTGTTCGTTGGCGGGGTCGTGGTTGCGGTCGTGTTTGTCGACACTGTCAATTCGTGGTTGTGATCTTGTTCATGGTTTTGGTCATGCTAGTGGTGTTGTTCGTTGGCGGGGTCATGGTTGCGGTCGTGTTTGTCGACACTGTCGTGGTCGTAGTCCCGTTTGTGATCTTGTTTGCGGTTGTGTTAGTCGTCACTTCTGCTGTCGTGTTCATGGTTGCGGTCTTGTTCGTGGTCTCGGTGAATGTTGCGGTCATGGTTGTGGTTTTGTTCGTTGGAGGGGTCGTGGTCTTGTTTGCGGTTGGCTTGGTGGTCATTTCCATTGTCATATTCGTGGTTGTGGTCTTGGTCATTGGGATGGTCCTGGTCCTGGTCCTGGTCCCGTTTGCGGTTGGATTTGTCGTCATTTCAGTTGTCGTATTCATGGTTGTGATCTCGTTCATGGTTTTGGTCGTTGGCCCGGTCAGACCAATGGTGTTGTTCGTTGGCGGGCTCACGGTTGTGGTCGTGTTTGTCGTCACTGCGGTTGTCTCATTCGTAGCCACGGTTTTGTTTGCAGCTGAAAATGGAGTCGTTTCCGTTGTCGTATTCATGGTGGTGGTCTTGAGCGTGGTTTTGGACAGTGGCCGGCTCGTGGTTGTCATTTCGATTTTGGTCGTTTTTGTCGTCAGTGCTGTCGTCCTGTTCATGGCCATTGTCACGTTAGTCGTCAAGCTCTTTTTCATGGTTGCCGCGATCGGTCTTGTCATGGTATTATTTGAGATCGACGCAGTGGCGGTGCCCTCCGCCCCTTTCATCCAAGAACCGCTTACTGTCGGCGCCGTTGAATTCAGGGCCGCTTTACTGTTTTCCGAGGACTTTTGCTTGACCCCGTCCTGGTGGTCTCTTGCGTTTCCGTACAGAGGAGTGGTGCCTGAGGACCTGCTGGAGGCCTCCGTGCTGGAGGCCTCCATACTGGAGGTCGTACGCTGAGAAAAAGTTGTGGCAACGGTCGTCGACTCTATTTGTTGCATCGAGTGGCGGGATGGTACTGAAGTCGAGGTTGCAGGCGGTTTTGTCGGAGTCCGAGCCTGAACATAATCTTCCGTTTGCACAGATTCATTTGACCACGGGTCCGGTGGGTAGTTCTCCTCCTAGTGGGAAAAAAAGAAAAAAAAATCGTACAGAATAGCTGGGAACGTAATGAACATTTTTTTTTCATTGGTCCAGAATGTTTTAAATTCACTTAAATACGTTGAATTTAGCTCGTGTACCACAAGTTCCCTGAGAGGGATTAGAATCAGGATAATCAATATCATTGTTTCAGCTTTCATTATCATATCAGATTTTAAGGCTCTGTTGTGTAATAATATGCTGCCCTCTATTGGTCTGGGCGTAAAATCAACGTTCTACAAGAGCGACCACCCCACCCCCACCCCTCCATGCAATAAGAAGAAGAAGAAGAATCCGGTAAAATTAGCATGAGATTTATGTTTCTGCTTTGGCATTTGAGGGTTCACCTATTCACATATTTTTGGAAACGCAATCCAGAGGAAGCAAACATCGCTTACCTCGTAATCGAATTCAATGGAATCCGGGATCAGGCTATTTCCTGCAAGAACAACACAGATTGGGACAAGCTGAGTGGAAACAAAACAACAAGAACAAAAACATACAGACTATTTATTCTGTTTGTATGGTTTTCATATTTCTCCCAAAACAAGTGAGGCGGGAAAGACAAAGTGATGAAAACATTTTGGAGAAGTCAGGGGCAGCGCTTAAAAAAAAAAAAAAAAAAAAAAAAAAAAGTCATCCACAAAAATTGCATTTCGGCAACCGGACTCGTCACCCTTTCATCCAAAAAGCGTTTGGCATTTCTGGTGTGGAGTTTCCCCCTGTACAGGATGTCATGTTCATGTGACCGAGACAGAAATTGAGAAAGGTTTCGCAACAAACAAGAAAAGCCCAGTTGCCTTCACTCAACTTTTGCAGGTTACCGGTACCACGATCATCAACAGAAAGACATTAAAAAAGTCAGCGGAATTGTCTGAAAATCATTTTCGACTTCAATGTCTGCAAATGAATCAAGTGACAGCAGGAAAATGAAGAAGGAAAGTTCCGACATTTCCATGCTAAACATCTCAAAGAACTTCATCATGCCGGGATTTCCCAAGCACGGGAAAGAAAACCGAAGCGCATTTGCAGTAAATCGTTTTCTGCGACGGGCCACGCCCGCATTTGGACTCCGCCCGTTCGCCACTGCGCAGGCCTATAACAAACGCAAAAAAGGCATTTGCTGCAAATGCGGCGCAGGCGCACGGTGGGCGGAAGGCTGCCGAGCTTGCTCCTTACCTGTTTCGTGTCACGCTTGAAACTGCTTTGGCAAGCGTGAGGTGAGGTTAGATCGGTTTATCGGTGCGGCGGCGGGGAGGATGCCGAGGACGATTTGGGATGCATTACAGAACAACGAAATACATCTCGTGAGTCTGTGGTCCTGGTGGAGCCGTATCTTGGAGCGCCGCAAAATAATTGGCAATGAATGGTTCATGATATCGTATCGTTTTAAAAAGTGCTTTATTGGAACTGGCTGTCAATCATCATCATAATCCTAAAATACACAATAAACCAAACATAAAATGCGAATATATTTCAAGTTCACAGCAGAGGTGTGTTGGCATTTAGAATGAAATAAATCTTTGCATAGTTCTTATTTATTTATTTATTTATTTTGACAAAAAGCAAGAAATTAAGACCCCGCAAAACAAAAGTCAGAGGTTTGGAGAATTTCTTTTTTTTTTCTTGATATATATGTTTGTAATGAATGGAGGCATCTGTCCATAGTAAAAGGCCCAATATTTAGCAAATACAAAATATTTTGGGGACTTTTGTACTTCATTTGACTTTCACATGATGATACCACTTTACTCTAGTTTCATAAGATTATGTTTTCTTTTTGGAAAATAAATAAATGAATAAATAAAACGATTGATTCTTGAGAAAAGTATTTTTTTTTATTTTCTTTTTTTATTTTTTATTTTTTATTTTTTTTGCAATTGGTTCCAAATTCACGTCAATATAAAATGTCATCGACTTCAGGAAAATAAATACAATGTCATAAAGTAGCCTTTTTATTTTGTTTGGAATATCACACGCTGCCCCCTGTTGGTCTGGGGTGTGAAATGAACGTTCCACGCGTTATGCCTTCAAGAGTTGTAATTCAACATATGATGCAACGTGTGCGATGGCACATGAAGCGAAATACGAAAACTGGTCTTACTGTGAGCGGCACAAGAAAAAAGGATGGCGACGGAGGGAAACGACAACAACCGCCTTGAGGAAAGACGATGAAGAACAAGAGCGCGTCGTGAAGACAAAAGAAGACAAGCGTCGGAACAAAAAGTCAACAGTGGGAATGCAAGTGGGGCTGAGGGATGAAGAGAAAGAAAAACAATCACGTATGGTGAGTGACGAGGAGCGATAAAGCACAAAATGGCGACCGTGACTTCGGACGAATAAAAGCAATTTGTCTTTACATTCTTTTGTCATGTCTTACAATACATTTACAATTTGCAATGTCGTTTCATTTGAAAGAGGAAACTTAGTTTCAATTCAATTGAGCACCAAGCTCGGTCACAGGAAAATTTTCACCTCGTGAGTCAAGGTAGCACTGTTTTACAGAACAATTGGATGAAAAAGTGTGACAGTTTGACATTGACTTTGCAACAGAGGTCATTTCATTGTCCGTTTTCAGAAACGAGGCGTGTTTGCGTCTCGTGTGGCGAGCCGGCGCTTACCGGGGCCGTCGACGGGCACGGTGAAGGTCAGGGGGGGGTTGCTGACGCGCCCGTAAAGGCCGTTGGCGCCGGGGCCGTCGACGGGCACGGTGAAGGTCAGGGGGTTGCTGACGCGCCCGTAAAGGCCGTTGGCACACACCGCCACCACCTGGACCACGTAGCTGCAGTTGGCCACCAGCTCGTCGAGGATGGCACCCTGGTGGCGAGCAAAATCCAATCAATCACGGAATCCGAGGCTCGGTTCGACTTCAGTTCACGCGCAATCATTTGACATGCAAAATTTTCTACTCCAATCAGCTTCGGCCGTCCGTCCGTCGAGTTAACGAGCTAAAAATGCGATCATCGCTTGCTCACTTTTGTATTTGCCAAAATGATCACTTCCTCGCAAAATGGCGGACGTCTTGGGACTTCTTGAGACTTTTTGGGGTGGCACACATGACGACCAAAACTTATTGAAATTGAAACTGGCGATTGTAGCTTTTTTTTTTTTTTTAAATCTCGTTGTTAGGCCGCCACGTGGACCTCACCACATCCTGGTCTCCGTCGGTCAGATACTCCGAGCGTGCGGCGTCCTCCGCGTCGGCCATTTTGTAGCTGACCAAGTACCTCTCGATGGCGGAGTCGTAGACGGCCCGCGGCCGCTCCCACGTCACCAGCAGACTGCTCACGTTGTAGGCGCTCACCTCCGCGTTCTCCGGCTCCGAGCTGCACACTGACGGAAACATCCATCCGTGACCACATTTGCGGAGGTTTGCTATTCGCAAGTAGACAGTACAAATGTCTTTTTCAAAGGTAGGGTGTTAAAAGTGAAAAGTCACCAGAAAAAGAAATGCTCAAGTACCTACAGAGAAAAATGCTGACAATTTTTTTTTTTTGCCCTCGGGTAGTAACTAAGTTCTTGTGCTCGGTTCCTTCCACCACTTGACGCCCTCGTCCACTAATGACATTGATCATGCGTTTGTGTGTCATGCGGATCAATTTGGTTCATGATGAATTATCGAGCAGAACCAGCAGGAAAGGTCAATTGTTGTGTCACGCCAACTCGCTCCTTCCTTCCGCTACCTCTGCCACTCCATTTGGGTCACGGCCGGTTCTGTTTTGCTTCGTAGGAATTTCTGTCTGGTTTCATCGGTGTTCTATTGGCTTCGTCAAGTTTATGCTCGGACCACGGGAGCTTCTACTTGCGAGAGTGATGTGGAGTGACAAATTGTAATCATGGATGGCTGTGGATGGTTTGTTCGGAACAGCGACGGTGTACGATGATTTCCCTTCCCTGTAGAGTTGTTCAGTCTGCCACCTGGTGGCAGCAGTGTGACGTAAGATTGATAAGTGGAAGCTTGAAGCCATCAATCAAATCGACGCGCATTTTATGTGCTCATGATTTGCGGTCTGCTGCTGCAAATGACAAATTCTATCGCCTTAGCGATACACGTCGTCCTATCGCCCAGCTCGAGTAGGTTTTGTTTGTCTCACAGGAAATTCCGTCGAGGTAATTGGGCTTCTGTTTCGATCTCACGGAGATTCTATTTGGTCCGTAGAGATTCTCTTTGGGGTCACGCAGATTTTGCAATAGAGATTCTGGATATAGTAGCGAATAAATGTTCTGTTTCGGTCATCGTGAATTCTCTTTGTGTCACGGGAGGCGATACTGAAGCGATCGAGGTTACGCAGTCGCACGGCGTACCTGACGTGAGGAGCTCCTCTGTGCCCGTGTAGGAGGAGAAGACCTGACCCATGAAGTTGCGCTGCTGCTCTCTGTAGTTGTTCTGCAGGTAGTCCATCAGCATCACGTAACCCGCCTGCTGCATGGTCATCACCTCGCAGAACACTTCCAGCTAGACGCCAGCAACGCAACAAATAAGGACGACGGACATCAGTGGACGTGACGTTCACGGTCACTCGCCACCTTTACAGAATCACCAGCTAAGAATCGGCGGGATTCCCCCCCCCCATATTTGTCACTTCGTCTGTCACAGAGCAGCAAACGTCAAATCGAAAATCCTTATGGGGACGACGTCAAAAGTCATTTGTTGAACACCCTGGCAGTCCGCCCCGAGTCGGAATGCCGACCAGCCGAGACATGCCGGCTGCCGAGCTTTTGGAGGGGGGGAGGGGGGGTGGAAAAAAAATCAAATCATTTGTTTCGATGTCACACTTTGAAAATATGTCTCCACATGAAAATGACTCATGGCACGAAACAACTTGGGGACCGCTGCCTTTTATTTCGAAAAACGTGCACGTGCGTGCGAGGAATGTCGCAAGGCGCTCTTTTCCTCCTTTTGAGTGTCGTTCAAACGTTGTTGACAGACATTTCTATACATGTCAGCGAGACATTAAAAGGTTCCGCGCACGCCACAAAGCGCGCGTTGACACGCTTCGTGGCCTCCGGGCGCCGTATACGCTTCTCATAATAAACGGCCTACCGTAAGCTCAGCTGACGGAGGCTCGAACATGCATCTCTGCACTTGTCGCTCGTTAGCTAAACACGGACGGCGGCTCTCACCTGCTCGGCCGAGATGGAAACGGTGTTCTTGAAGACGATCCACTCCACCGTCTCGCTGCAGGGCGGCGTGGTCAGCGAGCCGTTGTAGATGAAGTACTTGTCTGTCGAGTTGGGCAGGAGCGCACGCGGCCGGAAGGGCGACACCTGGGCGCTCTTACCTGGACAATATTTGGATTATTATTAGCGACGAGATTTGTGTTGAGAGCGAGTCCTGGTGGTAACCGGTACCGTATCGGCTGACGCTGTTGATTGCGTCGATGATGGCGGCAAAGTTGGCGTTGTCCTCCTCCAAGCTCGCCTGGCAATAAAGGATCAAAAATGTTAGCATCAACGCTAACAAGCTGAGATCTCGTCATTTTCGATGCAGCTAACTTAGAATTTAACCCAGCTGACCAGCGGACGGAGAGGCAAGGCAAGACAAACGGCAGAACCTTGGACCACCATCAAGGTTCAGTTTCCGCTCGCGGTGGTTTTCTGTTTGGTGGTTCGAGGTTCTGTTTGGACCACGGGGTTCCGTTTAGCTTTGTGGATTAAAAAAATTTGGGGTCATAGAGATTCTCTATTGACAAAAGACGTGTTTGAATCAACGGGTCGGTTTGTCTCAAAGGTGTTCTGTTTGATCTCGTGGGTTTGGTTCATCAAGGTTCTGTTTTGGTTCATCGAGGTTCCGCTTTCACCACCGAGCTTCTATTTGAGTCATGAAGGTTCTCTTTGCAGCAAGGATGTTCTGTCCGACGATCACAGTGAACAAAAAGCAAGTTGCAGACGAGCAGACGCTGATTCTCGCTAGCCGGGTGCTTGTGACTCACCGCAACATGCCCAAACACACGACAAGTGCACAAGTTAGAAAACGGCAACAAGCGCGAGTCTCGACGTGTCGCCTCTTCCTCGGACGGAGAGGAAGTCACTTTCTCAAAGGGTTGGACGATTAGCAGCTTTGCTAAAACACTTTTCGCCCTCGGCGCTTTTGCTCTGAAGCGCTGCGCGCTTTGAAGAAATTAAGTTTTTGTTGCTTTTGTCTTCGTTCCCATCCCGGAAGCCACATCCGTCTGTCTGCCGCTTGACACGATGCAAGAATCGCATGAGAGGTTCTGCGCCTTGACGCCGATTGTCGCAAATTCGCAACAAACCGCTTCCGAATCGCAAACGGAGCTCGTTAGCATTGTTTGTGCTAACACGTCAGACGTCGCCTTCCGCAGCGGTCGTCCCTCGAGTAACGTGACGGCGTGTCCAACGGGAGCCCGAGCCCAAAGTCTACCCCTTCTTGGCTCTCGACGACTTGCCCTGTGCGCGCCTTCTTCGGGCGAGTTTGCGCAGATGCTCATTTGCATGTCAATGGCGGCCATTGTGCTCAAAACACAGATGGGGAAAGTGATATGTTTCTCTCTCTCTCGCGCGCGGGCTCAGTCGTACTCACGCACGCAGCAAGGTTATTACATTTCATGAAAACTAACAAACTAAAAAAAAAAAAATTCATGAACTAAGATAAAAATGAAAGTGCTTTAGAAAAAAAAAAAAAAAAAAAACCGAAACGAAAATTAAGCGAAACGACATCTTATGTCAACAAAACTAACTTCAATTGTAATGAAAATGTTTTTGTCACGTTCATATATGTCAGCGTTTGGGGTTCATTTTAATTGTATTCCTTTCGGTATGGCTGTACGTCTATCAAGAAGATTACTTGAATACACAACGTTTAGTGATCTTCGGAAAAAAAAAATTGCATTCAAGAAATATTCCATCTTTTGAAAAAACTAAAACTAATGAAGTGAAGCCATTTTGAAAAAAGAAACACATCTGAAAAATAAAAAGAAACACGTTTGCTCCCAATAACTAATGAAAACCAACTTTAAAAACAAACAAACAAACAAACAAACAGACGCCAGAACTAAAAAAAAAAAAAAGTAATTACGATAAAAACTCCCAAAGTATTGTAAGTGGCAAAGACACACACCTCAAAGAGCACAGCCAGGGCCGTGATTCGGCCCCCAGCCTTGACAGTTTGGTGGAAAGAGTCGAAGCGCTGCGGCTCAAAACAGTAAATCTGCATCTGAGAGGCAGAAACACAAACAAAAGCGACTCGTGACTGTTGCACCGTCGTCCTCCTCGTCCCCTCGTCTCACCTCCAAGGGGTATTTGACGCCGTCCAGGCTGTGCTCGGAGCCCTCCGAGGAAGCGTTGCAGCGACCCCAGTGGAAGGTGATGCGCCCCGCCTTGAACTTTGACACCAGGCCGCCGCCGCCGACGTAGAAGTCGCCGTCCACGTCCAACGCCACTGAACGCAACACGTAAAGACGTTTGAGACGTTTTTTTTGCCTCAGAACCTCCGCGCATGCGAAAGCCGCATTGGCTGTCACGGAAAACGCTTGATTTTAGTTGTTGCTGCAGTACAACTCAACTCAAGTGGATTTATAACAACCACCGGATCATCAAAAGAACTCTAAAATGAGCCAGTGGAAGTAGGAGTGATGTGCTCCCTCTTACGAGTGCCAGTCGAGAGGTGAGCAGCAGCATTTTGGACCAACTGGAGACGCTGAATGGAGGATTGGCGAACTCCAAAGTCAAGTGTGATGTGACGAAGGCACGAATGACTCTTTCAAAGTGCTCACCGGAGAAAGGAGAGGCGCAACTTTAGCCAGCAATCCTCAATCGTCTCCGTTGATGATATCGAACACCATTTGTCCACTGCGTGTTCTGTAGTTTGCGTGTCTAAAGCAAATATTGACTCAACGCGAAGCTGATTGTGTCGCGATGACAACTTTCTTTGTCCGCCGTCAAAAGATGCAAACGTTGCCTCTCTCTTTGGGGGGGGCTATAAAAAAAAAATAAATAAATAAACACATCAAAAGCACCGTCGTCCTCCACCGGGAACACGTAATAGCCACTAAAGACGAGACAGGACGGGCCGCCTCTCCGCTTTTGCCGAACAATCGGCGCTCTCGCGTTTCACGCCACTTTAAGAGAAACCGTCCACAAAAGCTGCTCAGTCCGCTGAACGGATCCGAAACTGGATCCTCAAACAAAAGATGACATCAAAACAGCGCTTCAAGAGCAACGTGACACCAGCTCGCAGGAAGGAAGATTCTTGTCATGTTGCCTTTTGAGAGAACCGCAGCATGAAACGATGAAAATGTTCTCGCTCGCTACATCGGGAGATCCCCGGTAACCCCCCCCCCCCCCCCCGTCAGTCGAGTTCTTGCGATCAAACTGAACACCGATTCACGAGTGCTGAGAAACATCGCCTACACAACGAAGATGACGGCGAATGCTAAGCTAAGCTAACCCACAGATCCTTTTCCAGATTAAAAGGCCGCAGTTTCGTACTCGGACAATGAACGCTAAGCGAAGCGAACCTCGCATTCACGTTGGCCTTACGTTTCGCTCGGGTGTCGTGAACGGCCGTAAATGCTAACTGAAGTAGCGACATCACGTTTGTTTCCCTTTCGCTTCGGCGTCATACACGTGAACCCAGGTGGACGCATTGGCGCTTGTTTTCAAGTGCTCTCGAAATGCAGTTGAGTTGAGATGACTGGGAATGCGAAGCTAACAACCCACGAAGCTAACCAACCCCCCACTCAGGCCTCATTAGCAGTGTCCTCATTACCGAATCACAGATGTTAATGAGCGCACCATTGAGCCCCCCCCCCCACCATTTTCCCGAACATAAAACTAGCCCTTAAATCAAACGTAGCTGTTAAATCAGCTTCATTTTTTTTTTCTCTATTTCATGTTAAAAGAGCAGCAGGAAGCTAACTGGACTTTGGAAGTGGTCCTGGGCGCTGGTGCACGCAGTCCAAATAAATTGGCTGTTCATTTGCGGCGGCTTAAAATAAGATTCCGGTTACCGGTCTTGCCGTCATTTTTGATGGTGGTACGCTGGCCCGTCAAGTTCTCCCAGCCATCCAGTTGCAGTTTCTGGTAGCGCAGTTCGACCTGGGCCAGGTTTTCCTCCACGTCGATGGGCGACTGCTTGGCGTTGCTGCACGACGGGAACTTCTTGGCCCAGTTGTTCTGGTTCAGCGTTCCTGGGGGGGAGGGTCCAAGTCATCAGCGGTTTGAATCATCAGTTTTCTTGACAGTTCGAGAGGTGCACCGCCTGTGGTTGCATTTCTTTGTTCAAAAAAACAAACGCCGCCACTACGCGGTGGTCATGTCACGATGCCCCGATGTTAGATTTGAACTCGGGCACACATTCCAAGTGACGACGAGTGAGTGCATTTTTTCCGAGCTCACGAAGTCGTTCGACCGGCAGAGTGGCCAGATGTTCCCCATGTTGGCGTGTCGGCAGATGTGGTGCCGATCATCCTTACGAGCAGGTGCGGCGGCGCTCACGTGACCGTGCGGCCCCCGGCTCTCATCGGTTGCCTGCAGGTCAGCGTGGCTTCTGGGTCAGGGTGCGAGTGTGTTAGCGGGTCAATGGCGCACGTGCAACACACCCGCACCGCGGGGTGTCCCGCACCGGTCATGAGCGATTTGGACCAGATCCAGCTTGAACAAATTAGCGGCTCGCGTGCGGCACGGAGGCCGCGTTTCTTTCAACGTCTGACATCGACCGGGTTATTAAATCATTCTCTCAAGTCATTTGATTGTCTTTGTACAACCGTTTTTAATTTTTTTTTTTATATTTGGGGGGGTTGGTGGGAGGCTTGCAGACTTAGACTGACAACATGGCTGCAAATAGAGAAGAGCTAAGAGGTTTAATGGCTGTATTAAGCTACTTTGCTCAAGTTTATACAGCACGTTCACAACAAGCGTAAACCAGAAAATCATGAATTCCCAAACATCTTTGATCTTAGAGATATCCTCAGCTTCATTTTGGTTCCCCGTTTGTTGCTGAATTCCGTCCAACTTCAAGGCACTGACACGGCCGCGTAAAAATTCCATTTTGGTTCCCCGTTTGTTGCTGAATTCCGTCCAACGCATAAAAACTCCCATACTTTGGCTGTTTTGAGCAGAAGGATTTGACCGACACCGCGTTGCTACTTGATACGATCAGTCGCGCTACGAAGATGGCGCTAACTTATCGTATCGTTGGCATCAAATTGCGTTTGACCCGCCTGTGAATCGTGCAAACTTTTGCAGCCCTGGCCGACAGCCGCGAGTGGCCGCAAACGCGGCTGTCCGTCATCTGCAGGCCGTAAAGACGTCGACGGGCTGGACGGACGTCACATAAAGCCGACAAAGGTGACGACGACGCGCTCATAAATTCTCCGGCGGGGTTTCAAGGGCGGCTCCCGCGGGAGATCGAGTAACAGGTTTGACTTTAAGATTTATGGATGTCAGCTCCACGAGAAGTTTAAAAAATAATAATAAAAAGGGCTGACATTTAAATACAAGAATGTAGTTGGCCAAGTGCTCATGAACTGTACATAGACACCAACACAAAAAAAGTAGGTACTTTTTATAAATTAAGAACTAAAGTGCTCGTCGGCATTTTTGGGAAAAAAAAAAAAACAAAAATCAAAAATTAAATCTAACAAACCTGCTATGGAAACGACTTGAAATAAAGTGACTTTAAAAAAAAAACAAAAGTCCAAATGAAATCGAATCAAACTATAAGGCAGAATCCCAAACGGTTCGAACTTGTCGGGTTGAATTTTTCATTTGGTGTGAGTCACGTTGATGTTTGTCCGTCAGCAGACCTACCGTCGTACGACCAGTCGATGTCTTCGGTGAACTTGCGCTGGTTCCTGTACGTGTAGCCTCCGACTGCAAGACACAAACACAGTCACACACACGCAACCTTATGAGGACGTCGGAAGATGATGTCGAAAACGCGTTCGTCGACCGCTTGTCCGCCGCTTGTCAAACTTTTGACGCCGAAGGGCCACCTCCCGAAAATAATCGCCACTTCAAGTACCACCAGTATGACCGACACGCAAATACAGTTGCGTGGTAGGCCCAAGTGTTCGTGGACGATGTGACTTCAACACTCCTGGATGTAGTCAAAGTTAAACGTGACCTGTTAAATGTACTAAAACCCTCCTGAATCATGACCCCAAATACCGCAAGCTTCCGAAATAGTCCCTCAAAATCACCGATCCATCCATTTTACACAGCGCTTATCCTGAAGCGGGTCGCCGGCATCCCATCTGATTTCGGGCAGAAGACGGACTACGCCCTGAATCGGTCGCAGGGCACACAAGACAAGAGACGAACAACCATTCACAGCTGCATGCACGCCGTCACTGAGCGGGAATTGATCCCACGCTGCAAGTCAGGCGAGTGTACCGATGCACCATCAGCGACCTTAAGTTACCCAAATACTCTTCAATCCACAATACACAACTTAGAAGTAACCCGGATACTCCGAGATGTCTTCAAATACTGCTGAGAAAGTAATCGACTAAACTACTCCCAAAAAGTAACTGAATGCACTTCAAAAAGGCTCCCCGAGAGTCACCCAAATACTCATAAAATCTACTGACACGCTCCCTTAAAGCGACCCAAATATTTAGATCTACAAAAGTACAGCATGTCATGACTTTTCCCATCTCAGTTGGCGCCACATGGGGGTTGTAAACTGGATTGCATGACACACACACACACACACACACACTCGCACACGCAGGGCCGATGTGGCCTTTCGTTTGCAAGTCGATGCTGTTAATCTGCGGCAGGCTGAGTCTGCAGGAAAGGAAGAGACGAGGCGTCCCGCTGCGTCCACTTTTGGGATGATAGAGTCGTAATCCGGGATGACATCGTTGACAGTCTGCACACGGGTGCGCCGACCCCTCGGCGCACCCGGCGCAATGCTGGATCCAGGAAGTGGGCCGGCAGGTGTTTTACAGGCCGCCCGGCAGTCATTGCGACTGCCAACGCGGAGAATTGAATTGAATTGAATTCAATTGAATACAACTTTATTGTCAAATGTGCTGTACGTATGTGTAACATACAGCACAGATGAAATTTCTTCCCTCTCAAGATAAAACAAGAGGAGCCGCTGCGGGTGTCCGCGACACAGAACCCCAGCCAATGAAAGCCTGCCCGAGACCAGAAAGCAACGTTGCTCCAAGACCTCGTCAAACGATTCGGTCGGTCAACAGCAAGTCTGAACACAATCGCAGTCAGACGCGGCTCACGGCGTGACAGACCGAGCCCGGTTTTATTTTGGCAGGCAGAGAAGATCACTCCCAGAAGGGGAAGAATACCAAACGGGACAAGTCGGTTGCTGTTTGTGTCTTTGGCTGCACGAAACATGCGGTCATTAAAGTCGTTGGGCCGGCCGGAGCAAATCCCCATTCGGAGGTTTCCTTTTCACCAGGAGTGACCAAGCAGCAGACGGAACCAAGTCCAGGTCCTAATGCGCCGCCCGCCGCTTTCCCATGATGCACCAGCCTGGCATCCAGACGCAGAAAGAAAGAAAGCGAGGATTAGGATCCTGCAAAAAGAAGCAAGAAAAGAAACCCAAACGCCGGCGGGGCAGGAAGCCGCCGCGCTTTGCTGGACTTATTCACCAGCCGCCTGTTGTTTGATTTGCATGGCAACAGGACTGTCACGTGCACGCCAGGCCGCTCGGTGGCCATGTCCGACAGAGTTTTTGGATTCGACGCCGCCATTTCGTACGGGTTGATCTCAAGTCTCGTCACGGCATCGTTCGTAGCGCCTCGCCGCGCCAAACATCGACCGTGACGCGCATCGGTGACGTGTCGTCGTCTCGCGGGGACGCCTCCGTCAAATGAGGATGTTGAGGAGCGATCGTCTCATTCGCCCAAAACATTTCTAGCTCCTCCCCGCCTCCCGCCTCTGTCCGTCTCCTTTCTCCTGAGATCGTCTCATTCGCCCAAAACATTTCTAGCTCCTCCCACCTCTCTCCTCTGTCCGTCTCCTTTCTCCTGACCGGAATTTCTGGTGCTAGCATGTGAACAGAGAAGCGAGGAAGTCGAGCCCGATGTCGCTAGTTTGCATCCCAACAAAATCCCGAGCACGCCTTTCCTGATTGCTCGTTTTGGACTCAGTGACACATAGAGATGATCGTTTTGAAAATACATATAAAGAATTGTTGCACAAGTGGCTTTCATCCTTGGGTGCAATTTAAAGATGGCTCAAGATGCCCAATTCTTGTCAACTATTGGGAGAAGAGGGTGGAACGACGTCCGAAAAGGTTTCAGGCAATTTCAAGACAATGCCACCAAATTCTCCTGAAGTGCTGACTTTTCACTTTGTCATTTGAGGCCTTGTGGTTGATTTTCGATCTTGTCACGCTGCAAGGAGTTTTCTAGGAAAATCTGTTCACGATGGCGCTAACGGCGTGAAAAAAATGTCGCGGCCTGATCCAGGCATGACTTGTGCAGGATCACCACGACACTGGAAGGGGCGAACGGCCTCGTAAAAAAAAGGAGAACGCTCGGGCCGGCCGCTCTCCTCGTATTTACGCGAACGCTGTACACGACGTTGGCCCGAGAGAGCCGCGCTGACACAACGCAGGCCGCCTGACTCTTTTATTTGACGATGATTGCGAGCCGCTGTCCCGCCGAAGCTGTCGGCAGACTCCCAAGTCGTCTGCCGCCTCTCCGGCTCCCGGCTGGGAAACGTTCCAGCTCTCCCTCTTCGGCGTTTGCTCTCTGTTTAGCAAGTGGCAGCGTTGCGCTCAAGACCGCGTTATCCGAGACCAAGGCACGAGCAAGACTTTTGGGAGTCGAGACCAAGATCGAGACGAGCCAAGATCAAGAATGAAACAAGCCAAGACCGCGAAAAAGGCCCAGATCATAAAAATCACATTTAAAAACCACGACAAAGTTGAACGGTTCAAGAGAAACTCTTGCTTGAATTTGAATGTTCTTCAATTCATTCAACAGCCCAAAACCTGCAAAAATCTCAACAAAAAATAAACATTTTTCAACTGTGTACGTCTTGAAAAAATGAAGAGTGAAAAATTAGCCACCGAGCCACAAATGCTTGTGAATGCTTGCAAAGGATTGAGGATGCTGTTGATGGAAACTGGAATGGGACATTAAACCCAATCCCCAACCAACCCCCAAAAGCAGCACAAGTTTATTGCTATGTTTGATTCATTCAGAAAAAAAAATAAATCACACTCTATCCATATAAACCTAAATGGTGTTTTTTTTTTATCGCATTTTTATTTCTCTTCAATTGCGCCACTGATTCCGAAGACCCGATTACGCAGACGGGCAGATTATACAGATCATCGAGACACTTCAAATCCTCTGAGCTCATCAGTGCGGCACTAATATTCGTGGTTAGGATCAAAACCAAATGCCTGTGAGTATTCGGGTATCCGTTGCTTAAAGGGTAACGCGGCTGCCACGCATAGTAGATGCTAATTGTTAGCGTTTCCCATTCTATGTTAGCATTCAGGCAGTGGAGCCTTCGTGCGATGTGTGTCATTCTTTTTGTTTGATGTTTAGTTTGACAGTAAACTTGAAGCGGGGGGACATAAAGCGCGAGTACGACGGATACGTAATGCGTCAGGACTTGGCCCGGGTTGTCGCTGGGCTTTGCGGACCCCTCGCTACGCTGACAACATTAGGATTGTTGGGGAAGGGGTGGGGGTTGAGGGGTTGAGGGGGGGCGCTTGCAAGGGGACGTGGCCTGGGAGTGGGCTAATCCTCTTATTCAGCGCGCGGCGGCGAGAGGGGGGGGGGGGCGGCGGGTCCTCAACCGCCCGGCTGCACTCACACAGTCAAGTTCACAGGGCCAGACTCCGTGGAATCCATTGGACGCTTTCGTTCTTCTTCCAGCACCTCCCCCCCGAAAGCCCCCTCACCCACACACCCTTGGTTCTGGCCTAAAGAAGGTGGATTTACCCCCCCCAAGTCCAACGCTATCATGTACAAACACAAGGGATAAGCAAAAGGCAGCGAAGCAGCCAGCGACTAGTGAGCAAGCATCAGATGCTAATCTGGCCGTTGTCATATTTTCTCAGCGCCCCTTGTCACTCATCACGAACAGATTGGCTTCAACTTTGCTTCCAAAACGTCACTTCATCCATCATAGATCATATATTCAGCGAACCGAGCTCATGAAACAAAATGAGACGTCGCTAGCGCCTGATGACTTCATGGCTCGGTATGTGCGGACTTGACGGGAAGGTGGTCAAGTCGAATCTCGTGGCTGTGGTGTCGCCTAACGCAGGCCGGCGCCTTGGAAGGTGACGTGATTTCAATTTGTCCCACGTTGGCTTGGGATCGCTCGCCGACTCTGCCGCCGGGCGGCGCTAGAACGGAAGGTCCAGGATGAAGCGGATGCGGGTCAAGTCTTGAGACTTGAAGCGCAGGCGTCACGTGTGAATCGTCACTCAGTCTCAAGTCTTAGCGTATCAATTTCAAGCAAGCCCCAAGCTACTCTGGAGAAAAAAAAATCGAATCACGTTCCGACCAAGTCACAAGTCAAGTCACTCCGGTCTGTTTACGGGACGAAGACGATCCGGAACTGGACGGGGGAGGCAATGAAGGGGGCACCACCAACCATTACAATTCAGACATTCAGAGTTGAATCCTGGAGATTTGCTCCCAACTCTGACATGAAAACATTTGTGTAGTCTAGAGTTACACGCTCAGCGTGCAAACGCCGCTCGTTTCCCGCCTTTGGGCGGTCTCCGATCAATACCGAAGCCGTAAACAGTCGCGTCCGGATCATCTCCAACTTCTCCTCGAGCCAAAACACAAAATTCAAAACAGCATCCAAACATGTGCCAGCCCGTGATTCACCGCCGCCGCTTTTGTACACAACGCGAGACCTCGGAT